GAGAATTGTTTATTTTTCAATGGTCAGAAAAAAACTTTTTGCAGATGCTTGTTTGTTTGTGCGAAGAAAGATTTATATTTTATTGGAATTTTTGACATTTTCATACAACAATCGTAAACAGGATTGCTTATCCTAATAAGGCCTACGATCACTAATTCTTGAGCAGGCCGGGTCTGCGAGTGACATCGCCACAGCTGCTTATAGTGATGACGTCACCCGCAGACCTCGATGGAAGGCTTGCGATTCAGGCTGTGCTCGTTATTTGATTTTTTCGTCGATTTTCGATGTAGAAAAGGTGATTTTAAAAAGCTGAAATAGCAGTGGCAGACACTTTTAGCTCAATAAGCAGTCCTACTAGGGATTGAAAACAGGATAATCTCTGCCATTTTCTGGACACCTGAAACTAAGATGATCCGTTCTTTTCCTACGAATGTGCGGAAAAAAAAACTTTTGGCATGCACGAAGAGTAATCTTTCCGCACGCTCTCCAGAAAAATTGTGTTCCTTAAGCTTAAACTCATAACCGCGAAATTCGCTTTTTTTACATTGCTTCGACAATTTGACGTATGATTCACGCATATAACGTCAAATTGTCGAAGGAATGTCAAAAAAGAGCGAATTTCGCTGTTATGAGTACTAGGCTTAACACTTGCGAGAAATGGTATTTCCCGCACTTGCTAGAAGAATAACTATTTTTTCCCGAATTTGATATGAAAAAATTTTCCGCCCTGTAGGAGAACAAACGAGTTTCCAGTTCCACTTCAACCAAAAAGCAGTGCTTCAAAATACAAAATTTGTAGTTTCAATTTTATTCAATTTTCAATTTATTCAATCATAAGCAGTATAATCAAATTATGAAAGGTTAATATATTCTGTGCCCACTCAAAACTCAAAAGGCCGGGATAATAATAATAAACAACTGTGGTGGCGTGGCGTGGCGTTGATTCCAGTCCAAACATGAAAATGCCAAAAATTGCAACGTCGCATATAAATTGTTTCGGGGCTATCACCAAGCTCGTGTGTACTCAACGAACACAACGAAGATATCTTTTTGTTAGAACACCCTGTACGTATACGCGAAAATTACTTCAGAAATGTATGTACACCTAAAAATCATTACAGATTGCAGATATTTGTTTTAAATTATTATTATTATTATTTTTATAATGAATGATTTTTATCCAATAATTTCCCAACGCAGTTTAGTTAATACTTTTGTTAATATTATATTATGTATAGGTATGCTGCTGATTCTAAGTGCTAATTATTTACCCAATTAATTAATTATACTTACCTAGGTATAAACAATCAATAGCTTTTATTCAATTAACATCTTGTTCCTGTTTAGTGTTTGTTATGTCATGTTAATTAAACAATACATTTTATTATTATTATTATTATTAGATATTTTTAGATAATGAGAAAAATTTGCAGCATATTAAATTGAATTTTGAATCCCTTCAATTATTTATCGAAATCGGATCGCATATTCATTTTTTGCCAACGCAACTGATATTCGGCTAGATTCGTGCCCTGCGCCATGCAACGTTAGCAGAATATGAGCATCGCAACCAGACGTTGGCACTTCATGTGACTGTATGTTACAAGCATTCTATTGATAATTAGGTCCGATAAATGTTTTTTATTCAAAGGAAGGGAAGATAAAAGATAAGAATTTTATTTACATGAAAATTTCAGCTAAGACAATGAATGGCCATAATATTGTGGTGGATAGAACTACCGATGTCTTTGGAACTACGTCAGTGGCGGCTCGTGACTATTTTAAGTAGGGAGGCTAAAAAATTATGAATTACGGTGGTAACCACTGCGCAGCACAGTGGCGTACCCACGGGGGCATAAGGGGGATATATCCCACAATCCCACCCCAGGAAGTCCCATCCAATGCTCATACCAGCAAAAGTCAAAGTGGTAATGGAAAAATAAAAGATACCTTAACCAAAGCAAATCAATAGAAAATTCCGAGGAGAATTCCTTCATTCGACTATATATTTCCCCCACTCAGATTTAGGGAAATTTCCTCATAATTCTTATTCCTTAGAAATGGCAACCTTGGCCATGGTGCGATTGTGTCACTGTCACAGTGTTAGAACTGCCATCAATATACCATTTATTGATCATTTCATTGGCCAGTTAGAGATTTGGTAACCATACTAATCATTAACAGATTTTAAACAGTATCCACAGCCACCCCAGAGATGACATTCTCAACACGCAAAAGAATAAAAACCTATCTTCGCAGCTCTCTCTACATGTAAAAACAGACTTAATGGATTGGCAATGATGTTAATCCATAGAGAACTATATCTGCAAGTGAAGATGAAATCAAAGATGAACTAGCGAAAAGACCTGGCCTAGGTGACTAGATTTTGCTTTATAAAAAGCTTAATCCGACAGTTCATTGAAAATTTGCATCTTGTTGCCCTGATTATTTTGTATCCCCCCCTAAAACCAATGTCTGAGTACGCCACTGGCACAGCAGGCAAAATTTGTCTTGAAGTGCCTACGCCCTCAATAATTTATCTCAAATGCAATAAAAACCATGAATACTTCACGAAAGTATTCAGAGTTAATTTTGACGAGCAATAGAAAATACAACGAAGACACTAATTGATAATTAGGTATGATTAATAATAACAATAATTATGTACTTTCTGCAACAAGATGCACAATTGCACGATAATTTACAATGCACCCGATGTAAAAAAATATCAATCAACTAGGTATAAATCTACACCTTCTGACAGAGATAAATAAAGCAAGGATATGGCAGTTGTTTTCAACCGTGCGGCTAGCCGCATCTCGAAACGATGTCGCAGAACGCCAATAGTGGTTCGATATGTTTCCGGCATTTCTATTGGACGCTGAGATTCGCGGGCCATTTGAATAGTAGATTTCAGTGAAGCATGTGAGACTCTAGCCTCCAGTCGATTTCTTATGTTAGAATAATTACAGAACGGGAACAGATTCACAGATTTTTGACGTAGAGGCGCGGAATTGTTTGAAATAAAGTTGTCAGATTGTTCTAAATTACATTAAAATATAAAATATCGAAGTTTGGAAAGTGGAATTTGTGAATAATTATTATTTTAATTATGAATTAGGTATAAAAAATTGAGATTGAATTTTCAATTTTTCGGGGGAGGCTTAGCCTCCCCTGCCTCCTCTGACGAGCCGCCCGCCAGTGGAACTACCCGATGGAAACTAACTATTTTATAGAGTGTGACTGTGAGCTAAAAAAAATTAAATAAGAAAATGCAAAAGGTGAAAATTGAGAAATGTCGAAAATATGGAAAGTTCAAAATACAAAAGACCTTTTTTGTCTTCTTGTTGTGAAATAAAAATGTTCAGCTGAAGGGGAGAGTGGGTAACAGTGGATCACGGGGAACAGTGAATTTTCTACCATAGCTCCAAATAATTTGGGCGCATGCGCGCGAAACTACCGTTGATTGTTCTTTTTAAATACTTCTCCTCAGCCCATCTAGTCGCTGTGATGATATCAAAGTGGTAGGAGATTCTGCGTCGCTCTGAGCAACAGGCAAGTACGAATCTTTTTTATCAAGTGTTTTAAACATTTGTGTTATATTTAAATGAGTAATAATTCTGGGTATTTGGGTACAGTTGTATGCTTAGTACTGTTTATATCAGTTGTGAACTATGTTCTTGTGTCTTTAGTAGTATTAGTTTTTTTTGTATAGATTTTTTTTCAAAATAACTGTCATTGGGTCACAGCGAATCGTTCTGTTTTGGGGTTCAGTGGATCAGTGATCCCATGTAACCCACAATGATCCACTGTGACCCGCTAAGCTATAACTTAACTTTTAACTTATACTTACTTTTTAATAGGTCAAAATGCCTCGCAACCCAAGCAGCACTCCCATGTTGGGCCAATATTGGGACAATAACTACGATTTATTGGCCCAAGTCAGATTCTCTATGTTGGCCCAATAAAAGATGTGGACATTCTGCAATATTTGTCCAAGAACGTATGTCAATATATACCCAAAAACAAATACCAACGTTGGTACAATAACGTAACCAAATGTTGGCCCAAAAAGAAATAATCAATATCATATTAAGAACTTTATGCAATATAGAGCCAATTGAAATTACCAATATTGGCCCGAAGACGTATGTAAATCTTGGCTTTATATTATATTTAATTAAGGTAACGGACCAATTATAAGGACCGACTAAGAAGTGTTTTCTCTCTGCCGGACCATCCGTGGACCCGTTTCGCTGTATCACAACTTATCAGCACCGTTAAGTCCCGCCAGGGTCCCGCAGAGAGAAAACAACCAATTTTTGGCTTCATCCCGGAACCAGGTTTAAGACAGGTAAAGTGAAGACAGAGTCTCCATCTATTTTTTGGTCGGCACACCAAGTGCGCACATTGAATACCTTATATTGGATCAACATTTTCAATTCAGAAAATCTAACCTTGGTAAAAATTAGTATGTAAATATTGGCCCTTCATTGGGCTTTTCAAAAAGTATCAATATTGTGAAAAAATTGAAAATAAATATTGGGTGTACAAAGTTTTTGAAGTGAATTTAAATATCAATAAAAAATTGAATGCCAATATTGAATTATTATTATATTACAATATTGTTTCGAAGATATAAAATGAAATATTAAGCCAATATTCCATAAATCAATATTGTAGTGAGAAGTCTTGGGCCAATATTCAAATTACTGAAAAGTTAATTAATCTATGAAAACAATATTGGTACAAGATTATTTTCAAATATTGTTTCCACATAGTGAAAACTAACGTTGCCCCAATATTGGTACTGTGTTGATTTAGCAACAAAAATGAATAAATATTGGCCCAACTGAAAAACGATGTTTACTCCATATTATGTGCTACTTGGGAACAGGAAAAGAAAAACTACGGACACTACTACACCGAACAACAAATGCAGATCGGTCTAAGACTTATATATCGGATGGTCAGAAAATAAGGGCTGTTGCAAGAACCACTCATATCCCATACACAATTTTAAACAGGTATTACAAGAAGATTCGGAATAACCCTGATCCTGAAAAAATAATTAGGCTTGCACCTAATTACGCAGTTCGTAAGATATTCACAGATGCGCAAAAAAAGAGAAGGTACGACGGTTCAGAAATCTGCCAAATTGCTAGCTGTCAAAGGACAAAAGCAAGTCTCCAAGGTTTCCAGCGCAGAACGAGGGACCTAAGTAACAACTTGTTACATAATTGGAGCTTTGCGCTTAGGGGAATGCATTGCCACCGATAATGATAATATTTCCTAGAGTGCATTTCCATTTCAAGCAACATATGATCGCGGACGCTCCGGCTGGAACCTTAGGCTCTTAGGCCTAGATGCGCAATCTGGCTGGATGAAATCAGAATCTTTGCTAAGTTTTTTTAAGACCTACTGTCTTCTGGTAGAAATAAATGAGTTATAGTATGAAAACAATAATCTTTTACTGTATTTATTTCCATAGAGCCAGACTGCCCCAGTTGATTCACTGTTTCCCGTGCGCTGATCCAAACTGACCCACTCCTGGAACACATTGGATCTTTTACGAACTTTTATTCCAAAGGCTATATGTTGAAAATTTATGTCACATTCGCCATCAAATTACCTTTTCTGTTAAGTCTTACAAACTCTTCCTACAACTAATTTGAGAAAACAGTGATTTAGCGATAAATTTTGGAACTGTATGAGTTAGAAAAAAAAATGATCCACTGTTACCCACTCTCCCCAACTGTGTTTCTGTTGCACAACGTCAGAAAAGCCAACTTCAGTGACTCTTCAAATATTTATTCAAAATTTAATAATACATACATGCGCTCTATTTTTTATACGCGCTCTTTTTTCGCTATTTGATCAGCTTCAGAAAAAGAGATTGGGGGGTCGCATTTCTAGCACGAGTCAGTTTGGGTTAATTTGGATTAGGTACTTTTCATGTTTTTGCTTGAAAAAAAGAAATAGAAAGGAACAGCGCCTAGTGCGGTTTTTTAACCAAAATTAACCCAAACCAACCAAAAATAACCCATACTAACGCAAACCAACCGAAACTAACTCAAATCTACCGAAAAAGTTCTGGGGCCTGTGAATAGACACAATGATTAATTTTTAAACTTTTAATAAAGGCATTTCTTCATTCGTTATCGCATTTCGCATTAAAACGTACAAACAGATAATAATAACTGCCATTTTCCAACTGAATTTTTTTAGAGAATATTTTCCTGAACATCAGGCAGGCTCTAAACTGCCAACGTTAGTCCACTTCAATCATAATTTGCCTACGCTGTGCTCGAACGAACACGAATGAAGCCGAAGGTCCTATCACGTTGGCAGAAAATGAATATGCAATCGGGTCAACCAACAATTTATGTCTCATTGGTCAAGAAATCAGAAATTGCAATTGAAATCAGAAAGTGATACCTACCTATTAGACTTCTTAAAACCTGGATTCGATCGATAACTTTCTAAACAGAAAACTGTAGGTGGGTCGAAACCACGAAATCAATCTTGGCAATATGGTGAAGCAAAGTATTTTTTTCTATGGATACATTTTTGTTTTCAACAAGCAAAAAGCAACATTACAATATTTGCGTTTTCTTCTTTTCTAGAAGAAGATACACTAAGCTGATTATATGAAAATATTTTATACCTAGGTACTCAATATTTTTTTCGAAAAGTTAATAAATTATCGTTATTCTTATTAAAAAAATAGAAAGTAGATTGAGACAGAGATGTAAAGAATTTAGCTTTTAACGCCGATGGCAGGGTTGCCAGACCTTAGGAGGGACAGTCCCGTATTTTGTTAATCGGTCCCGCCTTTTTTTTATTAATTTCAGGTCCCGCTTTTCACGAGAATTGTCCCGGTTTTCCCGCTTTTTCCACTCAATTTTCACATTTAGTGCAAAAAACACGCTCATTATACAACTTGTTACATAAATAGCTATTTCTACATTTGAAATCGACGCAAAAAACAAATAACGAGCCTCAATCGCAAGCATTTCATCGAGGTCTGCGGGTGACGTCACCACTATTAGCTGCTGACGTGGTGAAGTCACTCGCAGACCTTGTGGACTCGAGATACAATGGTTTTAATAATAAATGTTGTATTTTGTAGGTATAAAAATGTCAGAAATTCCATCAAAATCCAAATCTTTCATTGCACAAACAAACTAGTATCTGCAAAAAACTTTTTTTCTGGCCGTTGAAAAATTAACAACTTTCGTCAAAAATCATTTTTTCTATGACCGTTAGAAAATAATCAACTTTCGTTATATTTTATCTTAGCCGAAAACGTTACTTTCGTCACTAGTCACAGTCACTAGTGATAAAATATCTAGTGACGAAAGTGAATGATTACGATTTTACATGTTTAAAACAATTTTGGAAAGCTATGTAATACGATTTTATCTATATTACATTCAAATGCGTCTTCTGAGAGAATTTTCTCCTTATGACTACCGCATGCAGAAAAGAGAGAAATAAATTAGACAATTAATGGCCGTTTTCACTAACTCTTTCAGGGAAGCCTTAACGATAAGACAAGTATTCCCTAAACTGACAGTTTTCCATGGAGAAATGTCAGTTTAGGGATTACTTATCCAGGCTTCCCTTAAATAGTTAGTAGAAACGGCCATAAGACTTTGGAGGCAGAGCTTATGATTGAAACTAGTTTTAAAATGAGTTGTAAAGATTTTATATTATTTTTTAGGACCTTTTTTCATACAAAAAGTTATAGGTATTATTATGCGCCAGTTTTTTGCCACTTTATATGTATAGCGTATAGGTAGATAATGATGTCTCACATTGGGCACGGGCACTTGCCACTCCCCCCACCCCTTATGCTTTTGGGCGTGGTACCCGAAAAAAATTCGAGCTTTCCCTCTGGATGAGAACAGTCCCGCTTTTTCATTTCATAGATCTGGCAACCCTGGCCGATGGGCCAATAAACTTTGAAACAAAATAGGTAGGTAGGTATATAGAAAATACATGCACTCGTTTAGGAAGCCAGAAGTTCGCCTTCGTGTCAAGAAAAGAAATAAATCGATGAAATACTTATTTTTCTCTTTACATCATCGCTTGTTCGCCACTGTACCAAGAAGAAAATCGCCATAATTATTATTACAATTATTATTATTATTATTATTAATATGTATTATTATTATTATTACAACGGTTTGATTCTTTTTGGAAATACAATAGAGGCAATGTGGAAATGATGTGTGGCAGTTCTATAAACAGATTCTCTCTACTATTATTTTCCGAATTCAAACAACTTCGTAGCTTCCACCGTTTTCTGAATAGTAACATTAGCATTATTTTTTAATAACAATATGTAGGTATACAGAGTGTCCCATTCAAGATGATATTGGGGGATATCTGCTAAATTCGTAGAGGTATTTTTTTTTTTGATTTCACATGCACAATTTTTTATGACGTACCAAATGCTGTAAACCGCAGGTCTCTATTTTATTCCGTTTTGGAGATACAGGGTGAGACTTGAAATTTTCACTTATCGAGGGTTGTCATTATCTCGCGTATTTATCAAAAAATATATCAAAAAGGTGAAAATTGTATTTTTCGCAGTTTTTTACGTAGATTTCATTGGCGTACTGGAATTTGTTTTTCGATGTACCGTTTTAGGGATATTACACAAACTTCATCTTTTTTTAAATGGGACACCCAGTACATTTCTCCATTTTTAAAATATGCATTTGTATAGGCTTTTTACGTTATATTTAGGATGACGTCACATTTAGTAAATTTCTGCTGCCAACCGAACAAAACTAAAAGTACTTTTCAACGCATTTAAAATAGGGCAATTTCAGATGTTTTTGGTTGGCAACGGCGCGCGACGTTGCATGATTTATATAAACTTTTTCAAATAATGCGTGTCGATTCATTTCGTTATTTTTAGCTGTCAGTCGTCTTGATAATTTATTATTATCTATTTTGTACAATCCTAATTAAGTGCCAAAAATAAGTTAGAGAAAAGTTCTTTCAAAAATTCAGTACTTTTTCGTAGCGTAAACTTACTTACTCAGAAAATGCCCGCAGGTTTGTCGGAGTCGAGTCGGCCTCAGGAAAGGGTAGTATACTTAATAACGTATCTCCAGCAGGAACGCGACCATTTTTGCTTCTTACTGCTGTGGCTGTGAGGCATGTAAGTAAATTACCTATTTTCCGTTTCGTTTGACAGAAAAGACCTATCTATTTTTACCTGGTATGCGCGCGCAACATGAGGCAAGTCTTTTTATTAGCTAATTAGAATTAGTACAGGTGTGAAGTGTTCGTTTTGCACGCTGGACATCTCCTTGTCCTTGTTCATTGTTCGAGGTCTGATAAAAAAAAAGTACGGTTGATATTCAACTTGACGTTACTTGACAAGTGACACTCAAAAGTAGTTTGAAATGTTCATTGATAAATACGTTGCATAACACGCGGTTTTTCTTCTTCTCTTTTTATCCCGTGCAAATAGGGAGGACGGATTGCCATACATAAGTTTAAAAAAATTTGGTACATTTTGCCTTGTCTTGCGCAATGAGCGTTCTGTGTTTTTTTTATCGAATGAAGTTTTCGTATTATTACCTTTTTGTTTGGTATAATAGATAGGTCTACTGTCACGTGACATTCTGATAAATTATAAGAAAAAAAATAGGCATTGACAACATTGTCTCTTTTTGTTCTATGACGTCATCCTAAATATAACGTAAAAAACCTATAGCATCTGATCCGTAATAAAAAATTGGCGCGGGAAGGTGAAACCACAAAAATTTCAACCTCTACGAATTTGGCAGATAACTCTCAATACCATCTTATATGGGGCACCTTGTATACATAGATTAGTGATATTTTACTAAATGTGTGTGTGGCAGTCCAAAAATTCTGTACCATTTGCCGATGACGGTGATATTTGGATAGACGAATTCTATCTACGTTTCTTATGATAATGTTGAGACCGGCTTCCTATAAACGTGTGTGGTGATATAGTGTTAATTAATGCCTTTAGATAACAAAGTATTTCTTCGAAATGAGATCTCAATATAACGTAAGGCTAGGTGGATACTGTATTGACACCCACAAAATTGGTACCGTTTTCGGAAATATCTACTTACAAATGTAAAGCTACAATTCGACTTTATACTGCTAGTTAAAAAACCTGTCAATTTACGAACAATTTCTAAATTGACACATTTACCACTCATACAAATAATAAGTAAACAGATAGGTAAGTACCTATAGGAGCTAGATATTGGGGACTTCACCTTTAAAAGAAAGAAAAAAACAGTTCCGCCGGTATAACACG